ATGACTTTAGGTTCCCGTACGTAAGAACCACGCGTACTTCAAGGCTGAATTTGAAATACTTAAGTTGTAGACTTGGACAGGGAACATTCTCTCAAAATTTCAGCTTTCCAGCCTTTCTGGTTACCGAGTTAGCAGTTTTCCCGCCAAATACTACACATAACCGTACTCGGGTACTCCAAGTACGGTTATGTGAAGTATTTGGCGGGAAAACTGCTAACTGAATTTGAAAGCTGAATTTGACATTTTTAAATTACTTGGAAAGCTGAATTTGACATTTTTAAATTACACGTAGACAGGGAACATCCGCCTAAAATTTCAGCCTTCCAACTCTTCTGGTTGCCGAGTTAGTAATTTTCCGCAGAAAATTTCATACGCCCTTACGTGAGTACCATGCATAGATTGGGGCCGAATTTGAAATATTTGAGTTGCGCTTGGGCAGGGAAAATTCCCTCAAAATTTCAGCTTTTTAGCTTTCATGGTAGCAATTTCCCCCCTAAAACTTCCATTCACCCTTGCGTGAGTACCACGCGCACCTGGGGGCTGAGTTTGAAATCTGTAGCAAGTACGTGCACAGGGAATATCTCTACAAAGCTTCAGCCCTTTAGCTCATGTGGTTTCCGAGACCGCTTTCTCGCCAAAAAATTTGCACATTTATTTAAAACTTCCGTACGCCGCACCCAGGTTTTCCAGGAGATCGCTTTCCCGCCAAAAAATTTGCATATTTTTTTAAAACTTCCGTACTCGGCACCGAGGCTTTCAAGAGGGGATGAAATTAAAACGGGAGGGTCGCGCATGGTATAGGCACATATCCTCAAAGTTTCAGCCTTCCAGCTGTTCTGGTTCTCGAGTTGAAGGTGGGTGATAAAAGGTGCGAACAAACAGACACACACACGCACACACGTACAGACAGCCTCTTTCCCAATATGTGTTTTTACAGTTTGCATATATGCAAAAGCGCATAAAAATGACCGCTAAATGTAAATTGTTTATTTTCGTTATGTAAAATTTGCGATGATTTGCGGTACTGAGCGCACAAGGCAGGTATGAAGAAACAGCCATTCATGCAATTAACCTAACTGGTTCAAGTTTGGTGCAAAAACGCATAATTGCACCGACTCGCCTGGTGTGTTCCAGTCTGGGTTAGTAGAGCAAACGAACGTGTAGTGTTTATGGCAATTTATTTTGAATTTGCTTAGGGCCAAATCTTCAACAATTGAAAAAAAAAGTCCAGTCCGTACTAATTTGGATCACTACCTCATGTCTTTGTTTAGCATATTCTCAATAATTGGCCGTCGCACGGGCTGCCCGTGCGAAGATGCGTTTTTTGCATAGTTCCCCGCAGTTTTTGTTGCTACCGGCATCGGTTTTTTCAGCAGATCCTTCTAGCTAAACAAATTAAGACTGGCCGCCAAAACTGGCAGGAAGCACTCCCTTAAAATTTCAGCTTTCTAGCTTTCCTGACTCCTTAGTTAGCAATTTACTTGAAAAAATTTTTCACGAGCCCGCACTCGGGTACCACGCATATCCGATGTCTGGGTTTCAGCTCGTTGAGACTTACTTGGAT